GCCTATAGTCCCAGCTACTTGGGAGGCTGAGGCAAGAGAATCGCTTAAGCCCAAGAGTTTGAGGTTGCTGTGAGCTGTGACACCATGGCACTCTACTCAGGGTGACATAGTGAGACTCTGTCTCAAAAAAAAGATTCAACCAAAGAGAATTTGTACAGATAAAATGTTAATCATTAGAGGACTTCTAAAGATGACTAACTCCCTAGAATGTACTGATTATTTTTCCTATTTGAAAAAGATTCAGACTTCCTTTCCATCATTTCTTTTAATAACCAACTGTTAACACATGTATTATTTAACAATTCATGTTAAACAATTCATTTTAACACTTTGAGAAGTTACCCAAAACTTTTTTTGCCTTTTTCAGTTTATTTTTAGGATTTTTTCCTTAAATCCAGAAAAAATGTCTTTGAGCCTGGTTATATTCCTTTGATTTTATTCGGTATACATATTCTAAAGTAATGGGTTTTATTTGGACTAAGGTATGCATTTGTGTATAACTTGGAAAACATAATGATTATGGAAGCACTGGATGAATAACTAACTTTACAGACTGACCAAGAAAGAAAAAAATCTTAAAATGCAATATGAATGTTTAGCAAGAAAGGTTTAGTATATTAAAATTGCTGTGTTTTTAGATCTAACTTACTACCATTCTCATAATAAAATACTTAATATTGTTAGCTATCATTTACTGAACACTTGCCAGGTGCCCAGCACTGTGCTAAGTGTTTTATATGCATTATCTCGTTTAATCCTCACAGCAACCCTATGTGGTACTATTACCGCTCCCATTTTACAGATGAGGAAACTGAGGCTTGGAGAACAGTATCTCATTTAATCTTCTCAGCAACCTTGTGAGGTACTATTTTTATCTCCATTTAATCATGAAGAAACCCAGGCTTCCAGAGTTAAGTTATTTAGATGTTGGTCAAAGGACATAAAATTTCAGTTAGGTAGGAGGCAGAAGGCAAAGAGATTTATTTTACAGCATGGTGACTATAGTTAATAACAATGTATTGTGTTCTTGAAAATTGATGAGAGTAGATTTTAAGTGTTTTTTAACCACAAAAAAAGAATGTATAAAGTAAATATAAGTTAATTAGCTCAGTTTGACCATTCCACAGTGTATAAATATTTCAAAGCAACCTTCTGTGCATGTGCATGGTAAATTATACAAATTTTGTCAGTTTAAATAAACAAATTTTTTTCTTTTGAGACAGAGTCTCACTCTTTTATTTATTTATTTTTTTTAGAGACAGAGTCTCTTTTTGTTGCCCTTGGCAGAGTGCTGTGACATTCATAGCTCACAGTAACCTCAAATTCTTGGACTCAAGTGATCCTCTTGTCTCAGCCTCCCAAGTATCTGGGACAACAGGTACCTACCATAATGCCTGGCTATTTTTAGAAATGAGGTCTTGCTCTTGCTCAGGCTGGTCTTGAACCTATGAGCTCAGGCAATCCACCTGCCTCGGCCTCCCAGTTTGTTAGGATTACAGGCAGGAGCCACTGAGCCCAGCAAATCAGTGTCTCACTCTTGTTGTCCTGGGTAGAGTGCCATGGTGTCATCATAACTCACAGCAGCCTCAAAGTCTCGCGCTCAAGGGACCCTCTTGCCTCAGTCTCCTAAGTAGCTGGGACTGCAGGCATCTACCACCATGTCCAGCTAGGTTTTTCTGGGGGTTTTTTTGTTTGTTTTTGTTTTGTTTTTTTTTTAGTAGAGATGGAGTCTCATTCTTGCTCAGCCTGGTCTCAAACTTACAGGCTTGAGCCACTGCACCGGGCCAATAAGTACATTTTTTTCAAAAGATTAACTTGAAAAAAGAAAAGGAATTAAGTAATTTGGCTAAGGTTATTTCTTTAGAAAGTGGTGGAACCCAAGTCTCCTGCCTTTAAAGTCCATGAGTAAAACTACTCTACAAAAGAATAGTAGACGATTACTTGGTAACTAAATGGGCACATTATTTACTGTGTGCATGTACTTTTCATCAGAATGTGAAAGTATCTGTGGAACTGAATTAATTTTTTTTTTTTTAAGACAGAGTCTTGCTCTGTCGCCCAGGTTAGAGTGTAGGGATGTCATTATAGCTTGCCTACAACCTTAAACTTGTGGGCTCAAGTGATTCTCCTACCTCAGCCTCCCAAGTGTAGCTGGGAGCATGGGCATGCAACACCATAATTTTCTGTCTTTTGTAGAGACAGGGGTTTTTGTCTTGCTCAGGCTGTTCTCCAACTCCTGGCCTTCTAAAGTGCTAGAACTATAGGTGTGAGCCTCTGCGCCCAGACACTGAATACGTTTTTGTACCTTAGAATACACAAACTTTAAACCTCTTTTGGATATCAAGCAGTTAATATGTAATGTTAAATATTTTCAGTCCATAGAAAATTTGAGTGGGAGTGAGGAGGCAGAATATACAAAATATACCCTTCTATACTTCTGTTTGCTACATCCAAAAACATCCACTCTCCACAATTAGTAACAAAAATGGTTTTTCTTTTGATGTCACATCAAATGAGGAGTGGCTGGTTGTGTTAAATCTATTTTAGAAAGTTAAATAATGAAATCTTATTCAAGCAGACCCTCACTCAATATTTTACTGAATTAGTCACCTAAAGTAAACTTTTTGCTTATGCCATGTCCTATTGTGAATGTTTATACTATAAACATTTATAGGGAACCCTGTGGTAATCATAGGAGTCTACTGTAGTCCTTTGGTAAGTGTGAACCAGATGTAAACCACATGCCTACATGACTCTTCAACTGAAAAAAATTCTAATATAATAATCCTGGGATCTAAAATTTATCTTTAATGTACTGAAGTTAATTTCTTTAGAATTATTCTGAGTTAGCAAATATTAATATAAGCAGCAGGACAGAAGAAATAAGAATAATAATGGAGTTGAATCTATTCATACCTAATAAGTATGTACATATTGCTAAATATTTTTATGAGGTATAAAGATCTTTAGTAATATGTAATAATCTTATCCAAAAATAATTTATAATAATGATTCTACTCCTTTTTCTGCCTTTTGTAGAAGACTCAGAAGTTCATAGGTTGGTTACAGAAGTGGAGGCATGTGTATCTGTGCTTCCAGCAGTAAATGGAATTACAGATATCCAATTTGAAATAGCACTGGCCATGCAACCATTAAGAAGAGAAAATGCTCAGTTACGAAGGTAAGAATTGCTCTTTGATTATTTTTGTCTGTATGCAAAGATGTCTCATGGCCAGAACAGAGGTACCAGGTGAAATATCTAGAACTTCCTAAGGAAAATAAATTCGCTGTCTTACTGTATTTCTACTTTCTTTCCCATTTTCCATTTCCCATACTTCTGTCCACTGGCATGTATTTTCTTCCACCTTTTCTACCTCTGTTGTTGCTTGTTTGGTAGTGTGCAGATAGGAACATATGAAGTCCTCTCGTGCATTTATCAAGCTAGTCTATGTTATGCTGTAGTAACAAACTTCTAAATTTCAGTGGCACAGCATAGCAGAAGTTTATTTCTCCCTCATGCCACCATGGGTCATTGGAGGCTCTCTGTTGTACTGTACTTCAGGGTCCAGGTTTCTTCCGTTCTGTGAAGTCACTGTCTCTGTTTTCAGGAAAAAATAGAATGTGGATATGGCAACAGGTCATTCTTAAATGACGTGGCTCAGAAGCGACTGTCTGACTACCACATACATTTAATTGGCTAAATAAACTAAGGCACATGGCCCTGCCTGATAGAAATGTCTGGGATATTGCTTTGGAAAACAAATTGTTTTTCTTCTGCTCTCATACTACAGCAATCCACACAGAACACTTCTGTGACCAAATGTGTGGGGATTTCTCCCCACCAGCCAGCGGCAGTCACTTGTGCAGCAGACACCACCTGGATGTCCTCCAATTCAATTCCAACACTATCCATCTAGAGATAAGTGTCAGACTCCACAGGTTGAGGGCCTAGTCCCACAAGATTGAGCCCCACTTCCCATGCTAATTGGAAGCCAAAGGTTATTTTACAAGTGCTTCTGACCTCCTGGCTATAAACTGAGGTTCCCTTGATACCCTTTTTGGGTTTGATTAATTTGCTAGAGCAGCTCACAGAACTCAAGCAAGGAAATACTTATGTTTACTACTTTGTTATAAAGGGTATTACAGAGGCTACAAATGAAGAGATGCCTAAGGCAAGGTGTGCAATAAGGGATGTGGAGCTTCTATCTCCTTTTCAGGTACATCTCCTTCTAGGAACCTCCATGTGTTCAGCTGTGTGAAAGCTCTTTGTAACTGTCCTCTTAGGCCTTCTGTGGAGACTTGGTTGGAAGCCATGATTGAAGCATGGACAACCATGTTGAAATGTCATTGGACAAAAGGGGCATGATCTGATACCAGTAGGCTGAGTGGGAAATCTCAATTCTGTTGAGATTCTGCTTAGCTTTTCTCTGTAGCATTCATTCCTCCCAGACATGGGGCAGGACCTCTTCTGAAGTGGGGGGTCTTGTAACCTGTAATCGGGTCAGAGAATTTCTTCATGGCTAGCTCTGAGACAGAAAGGTAGGGGAAGATTAGAGTGAATTTTTAGTTCTTTGACCTGCCTTGGGGGAGAAAAAGGAGCTGGTAAAAGGAGGGCAAGAGAAGATCAGAGAGAGCTGAGGCCTGCTCCTGAGGCTTAAAGTACCCTGATAATAATAAAAAACTATTTTTCGCCTTCACCACTTAGAAGCTGATCTGAAGCTGCTTTGGACAAAATGGCCAAATACTTCAACAAAAGAAATGCTTATTATTTTAGTCACTTAGGGCATAATAATGGGTATGGGATTTAGGGTCCAGAAACCATGGCTGAAAACATATATATATATCTCATAATATCACAGACATGTAATCCATATTTCCCATACTTTCTCCTTTCCTTCTTTGTTACACCCAGGAAGGAAAGGAGAACCAGTAAAGGTGAGCACTAGTAGCCTCACCATACTTAAACATAGAGACACCTTATTTAAATTTTTAGGTATTTTTTTCCTTTGGTCATCTTAATTTGTTGGAATTACATTCTTAATTTGTTAAGGAAAGATGTAAACCAGGAACCTAAACTTGAAATACAGAAGAAATCATTCACATATTGTCAACAATAGCTTAACTTTGAATGTTTCAGTGATGACCATAAAGGCCAACACTCCAGTGTCTGTTTAATGTATAGTAGAACCTCTGTAAGTTGACTACCTAAGGGACTGTAATAAACTGGTCAACATAAGGAATTTTCATTGAGTACATGTGGTACATGTCTGGCTTATGAAAATTAGGTCAGTTTAAAGAGGTGTTCAGTATAGGGAGGTGATCAGCTATGGAGGTTCTACTGTACTTTGCAGAGAATTGGAATATGTTTTCAGGTGCTTCTGCAGCACTGCATTGTGAATGTACCCTGAGAGAGTGTTACAGTTGCATGAGCCATAGGCATACAAGGCAGGACCTGCAGGAATCTGCACACATTTTTCAATAGACTGGAAAGCAATTAAATAGGATTCCTACTTGGAGAGTAGCTTCAGTGTACTGTAGATCTGGAGCCTACAAGGCGTGATATTTAGTATGATTTACTTGTTTAGGATTATTTTTCTAGAGATTATTAGCCTGTAGTTACTATGATAAAAGATGAGGTTGCTGGGTTTAAATTCTAATAACATGAGATACCCATAATGGCATTAATTTTTTGAAGTAAAAATAAGAATAAATAGTAATGGCAATGAACAGCAAGTACTACTAACAATTATTGAATGTCTGTTATGTGCCAGGCTATTGTCCTTTTTATGCGTCATCTCTTCAAATCCTCACCATGGCTCTGTGAAGTATGTGTTATGTTGTCCTCCTTTGTAGATGAGGAAACTAGGTCACAGAGAGTTTAGGTAACTTATCTGAGGTTACATATCTAACTAGTTATAGAGTCAAGACTCAAACTCAGATAATTTGATTTTAGAGCATAATAGGGTGTTATTTATACTTTGCTATTTAGATGTATTTTGTGGAACAAAAGTATGATATTAAAGGAATGTAAGCCATTCAAAAAAGTATATTATTTAAAGGAATGACAATCAAATAATTGGTTTCTTAAACAAGTATACCAAAACTTAGTCTTAGAGTATTTCCCTATTTTAACATTGTCACCATGGGAAAGATCAATTGTTCTTATTTATTTCCATTCCTTAGACTATTTTAGAATTGCCTTAGGAGCTAATTTACATGTATAAACCATTCAAGAAAATGAGACTTACTATTTTATGGGCCACCACATATTTTTAATTTTTAAAAAAAAGTATTAGTTTGATGTGTACTGTAATTCTTTAGACTTGGCACCAGAGCTTTCTGGCTACCTGTCCTTACAATAGAAAGATTATACAGCATGCTGTTGCTGCTGTTATTTACTTGATCTTCTAAAGCAGTGGTTCTCAACCTTCCTCTGTATTTACCTTAGTATATTTTCATTGTTACAAAGGGGTCGCAACCCACAGGTTGCTGCTCTAAAGTATTCAGCATTTGTGTTGGAATTTTTGTGTCATGTGGTAATCTTTATTGGAAAGAATTATCCATAATCATCATTACAAATAAAAGTTGGAATGCATGGGCTCATTCAAAAGTATTTTTTATCATTTTCAACTAAAATCCTTTTTTTTTCCTCTTTGGGAAAAACTGTGTTTCTTTTAGCCACAAAAGTGATCTTCTAGGACTTTCTTAGAGTTTATTGCCATCTTGTGGCTTAAAAAAAAATAGCTAGGTGCATTTTTTCTCCGTCATCTTGGCATTTTTGGCTTTTAGGCTAGACAGTTTTATGTGTCTCTGACACTGTCATCTCACATTTAGCCATCCTAGTCCCACCCACTAAATGCCTGTAGTGTCCTGTTCATTTTGAACACTGAAAGCCCTGTCGCATTCCTAAACTTCCTGGCTGGAAGTTGGGGGGAGTGGATATTAACCTCTAGTTAAAGAGTCATTGAGCTAGAGAGCACCTTAATATTTACAGGACAAGAAAGAATCATGACCACTTCCTGATTTTATGGTCAAATACAAGACCATTATGTGCCCACACAAAACCAAAAAAGGAAGTGGGAGGAGTCAACCATGACATTCAGGTTTCTGTTTTTATAATTTAACAGATGGTAACATAATTTTTCCAGATGGGAGCTACTAGAGGAAGAATACATTTGTTTGTTTGTTTTATTTCATTTTTTGAGTTAGGAGAGGAAAAAGGAGAGCCTGTGAGTTAAGATTTAGATGTGCTGAATGTATAATTTCCTTTCAGGTCATCTGGAGATATGTATGATAGAAGTCTGGAGCACAGGAACAAGACCCAGGATAGAAATGTGGACCTGGGAGTTATTCACTGTCCATGTTTCTAGTGAGCTTTTACTATAGATCTGACGCTGTTGTAGGTACTGGAGACAATGGTGATTAAAAGCATGTGATATGTTATTAGCATATAAGTGGTAAATTCATAGAGAAGGTTAGAGTGTGAACACAGTGAAGGGTGAATTGCTGGGCAGTAACAGCTTTTTAAGGAAAGAACAGAGGAAGAGGAGCCTGTGGAAGAAACCAGAGGAGAATAAGAGACATAGCAAGAAAACTAGGAAAGTGACATCACAAAAGCCCATGGGAAGAAAAAAATTTATAGGAGAGATTTTTGCATAACATTCAAAATAAACTGACAACAGAGACAAAATTAGATCAAGAGTAAACATCATAAGACAGATCTCTGAGAGAAAAATCCAGGAAAGCTTGAAACATAGTCTATCAAGGAAATTAAAGATAATATAATCTCTCTTAGATGGAGAAAGAGATCGAGAGAAAGTGCTTAAAGAAGGAAAACAGTAAAAGGAGAAGAAAAGTGAGTGAATTTTTGAAAGGTGAACTCAGAAAAATAAAAGAGAAAAACAAAAAAAAATTGTTTCCTGTCAGACTTAGGTTATTTTTATTCCTAAAACCCTTTAAAAATTTTTTACTTATTTGTTTTTATTTATATATATATGAATAATTCATCTTTCTAATCATTTTTAAGTGTACATTTCAGGGGCAGTGAATACATTCACAGTGACATCTTTGCTATCTATGGCCAGAACTTTTTATCTGTGACATAAACTCTGTACCCATTTAACAGTAACTCTTCCTTCTTTCTTCCTTAAGTCCCTGAAGTCCCTGGTGAGGTCTTTTTTT